TTGTTATTCTTATTGTTTCATCATTCTTATATTTTCTTTTTTTTATTGTATAAACTCAATATATATGTAACTTTTTGAAACGGAGTAAACTTGATCACATTTTTGACTTATCTACCTTCTTTTACTGTACTTAATACATATATTTCATAGGCATGAAACGGTTTGAATTGAAGGTTTTTTGATTAGCCGGACTTAGTAGCCTATTAGATAATCAGCTAGTGTCTTCACATTAACATGAATACTTAGAGGCAAATATATCGAGTTGGTGAGTACTAATTAGGACCAACCAAACTTAAATTCTACTGTTAATGAAGCTGAATTTTCAGTGGTTATTATTTTTTCGAGACTAGTTTAATGAATACTATTTCTTCAGACAGACCGATAGCGTTTGCTGTTTTATGTATTGAAACAAGGTAAGACGTTTACTTATGAACAAAGTTTTTGACTGGATTTTAAACGGAGGTAGACAATAAAGTCTAGCATATGTATTCCGTTTAATTGCAATAATGGCTGAAAATAAACTATCGCAAACAAACATATGCATTTATTTTTGGAATAAATGGTATGATTAGTAAATAATATTTTGCTATTAGAGAGAAAGGTGTTTAGGCCATAGCGAGCTCTCATTATCAGTACTAATATTAGAAACTGTTTAGTCCTACAAGAGCGATAGAAAAGTGGTGAGGGGTTCTGTCCTTAAACATTCATCAGCCTCTGACCACCTTACCGATCAACGTGTCAATTTTAAGTGTGTTTATAGAACCTCTTCGAATTTTTGCAGATTTTTTTCTATCCAGCCTAATACACTAATGGAAGCTCTTGCTATCCGCGAGAGGAAACCGGAATTTATTGTGAGAAAAAAGCCTATCATTTACTGATACATGGTAAGCAGGTTTTTTTTTCACAAAACGATGTTAACATGGAATTGTAGAAGATTTGTGACTTTTTTTTTAAATGTCTAATTTTAATATGTTAGTTTGAGCAACTTCTCTCATTAATGTCTAGAAATTTTCATAAGTAAATTTATCAGTGTTTAGTCACAATGCTGTCTTTCTTTCAACCGTACATTTATCCAGTGATCCTTTTTGCACTGTGTTAACTTCGAAATAGTTTTTGAGTGTACTGGAGTTTATAAATCACAAAATCATGTTCATTTAGTTTTAAGTAGTATTTAGTCGGGTGAAATCGATTGCAGATTGTTTTTTCGGCGGTTGCCTATTCTATCTTCAGTCAAAAGAACATATCATTTGAATAAACTGAAATATTTATCAAAAGCATTTATTAATGTGTCTACAGTCATGTAACCATTATAAATATTACTTATAATAATGACATTTAAGTTGGTCACTGCGTTTAATATTGTATTCTCTCTTATCATTTTTTAATAGTGACCATGGTATTTATCTATTTATCTTATTGTATTTCCACATCGGCATAAGCAATAATGGTGGCAATTTTTCCTAAATAGACACACTAAACTAGTGCTGATTTATAATGTTATGGAAGGAGTTTGATTTTTTCGATTTTTCGGCTCTCAATGATTCGTCTTAAAACATTCTACTTTCTATATTATATCGGCCAGTATATGTAATTTAGTATTTGATAATTTAGATCTGTTTGTGTTGAAGATTAGCTTTTCAGTATACGAAAGGATCAATAAACTAACCTTTTTTATACTTAAATTGACGACTTCTCGCAAATCCAGTGAGTGGTTTAATTTAACAAAGCTCACCAACGGATAGTTCAAACATTTTAGCAAAAGCTGCAGATTCATTCATTTTTAACTCTTTTAACAAATGTTCTTATTTACTTAGTCCTTAAAACTACATATTTTAAAACTATACTTTGTAAACTAACCAACTATCTTTAAGATAGTACTTTTTGGATTTTTACGCGAAACTCAAAGTTCCATGACGGATGACTTGTATTTTTTTAGAAACTGAGGTAGAAACGCCTTTATTTAGTTTTCTAGATACCTTAATTCTCTAAACACATCTGTCGTGCAGTTAAACATTATCTATAAAATGGTGTGGAAGCTAAATAAAAGAAAACGCATACTACAGACAGAAATTGCATTTAAAATGCCACATATGCGTTAGGAGTAATCAATGCAATTTAGAGCATTATCAAGTGTGCTTTTGAAAGTCTCTTAAGGATCTGCGTTCATAATAATTCTACTGGAACAGAAAATGTATTTAAAAATAACATCTGTACAGATAACTGGAAAGCGTAAAGACTATGGTCATTGAGTTAACGTTCGCGAGCTTTATTTCGACTCTATAACTGGCATCATTACTAATGACGTTTAAACAGTGTGATCTCGATTAACAATTTATCTCTCGTCTTACAAAAACTTGAGAAAGAAAATGAGCTTAAGCTATTTGGAGAAGATTCAATGTCACATTTACGTTGATTTTAGCACCGATGAATCTTTTACGAATGTTAGTAATGTTAGTAGTCATTGAGAAAGTATGTAAACAGTTGGATTTTCTGAGGGCAAAACTATAATTTATGGACGAGCCAGTCAGATTTAAGGTAGCAGTTTTTAGATTTTGGAGCGAAAATTTATTCACTCATTTGTCTAAATACAATTTCGGTATTAAAACTGATGGCGATTTGTGATGAAAACATTAAATTTAATTCCTGACCCTAACGTTCAACTTCAAATTCCGATTCTAATTTTTCTTATCAACTTATAACTCTCATTTCATTATAGTAAGTAGGTGGACATTTTCAAGGTCATGTTAACTTTGCTCAAAGGTTTTCCATAAATTATAGTCTCATCAAAACAATTCATTTCCTGAAAGTAGGATACTTGAATAGTTGTTTCATTCTTTAAATCTGAAATAAATAAGGATTTATAATATGTATGAATAATGATTTTTACTGTAAAATTGATATGTTGTGATTTTATTTGAAGTATTTATATTCTTTTTATGAGTCAATGTTGAACTCCATCATTTACATATTGAAATGGTGAAGATTTGTAGGTAAATATTTTTAGTGGACTTTTATTCTGTAAAATAAGTAAATCAAGCGTGAAACTTTCATTGTCCTTTTGGACAATATAATCAGAGTAAATTTCGAATAGTTCACTTCTGTCGAACGTTTTTTGCATGATTAAACTGTCCAGCTTACTGGATGAAGGCTAAAATGCATAATTTCTAACTAATATAGAATGAACGAATAATCTGCTAGTACTTCTTGAAGAAGTAGAAGAAAACATCGTTAGATTGTTCTTACACTATTTCCTTTTTTAATAGATTTTGTTAGCACTTTCAGTTGTTTGAACCTATTTATCTATCCATAAAAATACCCAATAAAATGTTTGCATAGATATTCATTCATTCAAGATATCTTAAACTTTTATGAGAGAAATTCTTACATAAACTATCATTCTAATTACAAGTCAATAATATTTGAACAGCCTTAATTCATTTAGTATTGTTTGTTTGAATCTTCCTATTGATGTTCAGGACTGCATTTGGTCAGTCTCTAATTTGCATATGTGCATACTGTGCGTATTGCCTCAATATAGTCTTGATTCAAAAGCATGTTAAGCAAATATGGAAGTGGCCGAGTGGATAACGCAATGGCGTTTGAAGCGAAAGGCACTTGGTTCGAGTCCGAGAGTGAACATCAACTTTGAGATCCTATAAAACATCTAGCTGACGAGTCCGAAATGGGACGAAACGCGCGTCCTGGATTCCACTGCTAGCCACTATCTATATTTGAACAGATTAATTGTTTTATTTTTTTGAAATTTGAAGTAATATAAAATATTATACTGTAATCCGTATTTAATTTCCGAAATTAAAAACAATGTTTATATTTAAAAAAAGAGATGACAAGTTTATTAATTAATGTTTTCCAATAAAATGTCATATGAATCATAGTTGATTTTGTAGTATAATAAATCAAATCACATTGTTAAGTAAAACAATAAATTTTAATATGAATACTGATTTATTTCCTAAAACATAGTTGGAAATTGTGATTAAATTTAATAATAATAATAATAATAATAATAATAATAATGAAAAAATCTCGTAATCGTTATTTTGGTACCAACGAACTAGACGATATGTTTACTTATTTAAACAAATCACTTTAATTTAAATATGTTGATATATATACATTCTCGAAATTAATATATTTCAATTAGCTTGTAGTGAACAAAACACTAGTTGGGGACAAGCGAACGTATTTAAACACAAATTACAGTTAATTTGCAAAATAACAATCAATTGTCTCAATTTTAACTGTTTGTTCTGTAAATATCATTCCGTCTTCTCTGATTTCATTGTTCATGCATTTTTGTACCGATTGCTCTTCATTCCTGTTCTTTCCTTATTATTCATCTGCCAAAATACATTCCATGTCTGACCGTCATCATATACTACTCATATGGATATAAGTAGACCACACCACAAGCTTATCGACGATGTCACCTAACGTTAATTTATGATTCTTTATCACTCTGAGAACTGATTCAACGGAATTTTTTCAATAACTAATTACACCATATGTTTACGTAATAAAGGTTTTACAAAGATATCAATCAAAGTGTTAATTATTAACAGGAGATGGTGAAACCGACTTACTAAGTATCACCCTAATAATTAAAGCAATCGTGATATAATTATCAAATTACTATTCGAAGTCTCTATACGTTTGGTTAGTTCGACATAACCCCTAAGTATTATTGATCTACTAAGCATAAAGTACAGTATTAAATCTGTTGCTTAGACATATGTCTGTTTGCTGATTGACTCTTTTTCTGTAATCAGTTATAACGATGTAATCAGTTTAATTTTATTCCTCTTCAATAATGATTTATTTCTTATCGTATTGTATATTATTTATTCGAAAATTTATTTTAGAACAGATTTTAACATTACGAAATATTATATATTGACAGACCTTGCTGAAATTAGAAGTAAAACCCTTTCAAATAAATAAAATAATTATCTAGTGTAATTTTATTTTCATCCTTACAGATATGGAGATATTGTACCAACTACAATTATTGGAAAAATAGTTGGCGGTATTTGTTCACTTTCTGGTGTACTTGTTATCGCTTTACCAGTCCCTGTGATTGTTTCACATTTTGCCAGGATATATCAACAAAATCAACGAACTGATAAACGGGAAGCTCAAAAAGTAAGTTCGTAAAAATAGATTTTTAAGGCATGCAATTATTACATTAATAAATGGCTTGTTAAATTAATAGCCTTCAATCTGTTTCATACGTATCACACAATCTAAATGCTAAATAACTGATATATTTTATGGATTCAAAGAATAAGTATGAAAACATATTCGACTTCATTAACATTCAAAACATGACTCTCAGATTTAAATCTAAACGAGTAAAAATTGCCAGAATAAAATAGATCATCTTCGGTACATGTTTGTAAACGTGCTTCGTAGTAAGATAAACAGAGCTGATTACTACAACCACGTAAACGTCTCGTTATTTTAATTATAATTATATTGTCGTCATTCATTGCAAATAATCTAGTATACATTTCTAGTCTTTTTTATTATGATGTACATTTCACTGAGTTGTGGTACTGTCTATTAATTTATATGCCTTGTGACTGATAGCATGATCAAAACCCACGTTCTGTTTTATTTAGGACCCGTCAGCTGGATATAGAAGAACCCCAGTTTTGTTGTTGTTCACACTAAGATTATATCTGTGGTGCGTGCTACTTATGTTGACGGATATAAGTAGTATGTAGTGCCAGTCGGGAATGGAATACATGCCATCAGAAGGTTGAGAAAATTAAAATGAGGAGAATAGAGGAGGAAAATAAAAGCAACTAAAATAACAACACGAATGAAAGAGCGATGAAGTTTGTCAGAGACAACTGACTGAGGATGTGTAAATGATGTTTTTAATGTACAGTTTTTATATTTTAAGAAGACACTTTGTAATTTTGCAACAAACTATAAATTAGCTGTCCGTATCAAGTGTTCTTTCACTACAAATCCAGTACCTTTTAACTTCAGATACTAGCACGTTGTCCACCATGCTACTGAGTTTGAATAGTTACAAACGTATTTAGCTAGTTTGATGTCTACATCATCAATAATAAACCTTTGAATTGTTGTTGGTATTTTAATTTGATTATTAATCAGCTTTTGGCTGTCTCGAAGCCATTTACATACAGTGTACAAACCTCAACGAAAACTGACTAGAATTCATTACTGAATAACAACAACAGGATAATTCGAATGATCAGAGTTAATTTATTTTTATACAAATTTGCATTAATACATTAAAAAAGGTGTAGTGATGTAGAGATGTTATTTTCTTTTCTCTTTAATTCATAATCTTCATTTCTTGTTAAATAATTTATATCCTCGAAATAATAATTATGAATATATTAAAGAAGTAACAGTATTATTAAAGTATTTTATAAATTCCTTGTCGGAATATTCTCTTAAAAAATAAAAGTATATTGAGTTGATTAACTAATAATGAAAAGGTGTCGAATATATATGTATATAGAAAAGTATTTACATGAATCTATAATCTTGTAACATCTGTTCTCTTTTCTTATGATAATTATTCGTTTCCAATTAAACTTAGTATAGAAAGTAATCGAGAAAAAGGGTAAATACAATTTTTTATTTTGTTTTAAACACTATAAAAAAATTTTAATATAATTAACTGACACTGATCATTTGATTAACAGGTGATTTATACATATTAAAAAATGGAAAGATCATATTGTTCATATCTTCATGATATAAAACTCGGTTCTTTTGTTCGTTGTACAAAATCTGTTACTTTTTTAAATTTTCCTTTCGTAAAAGATGATATATATATATATAATCCGTATAATAATCCGTATATTCTAGTCTTTCCATTGATTTAAAAGCATATTACTCATGTGCTTGCCTACATACACAAATTGATTGTGTTGGAGCCAATAACTTGTGTTTAGTTATCGGAATGTTCGATTTTGAAATAATCGTTCAGTGATTTCTGGTTTTTCAGTAGTTGTTTAGTTATACGATGTACACTATGAGAATTAAGAAGTCCAATAAATGCGTCGATAAGAAAATACACATAGAAGAATCATGTTTCTTGTCTTTACTATGATGATTTTTCAAGATACGGATTATATTTAAACAAATGTAATTTACTGTTTAAAATAGACTAGATGTTATGTTATCAACGATATTCTAATCTGCCTATCTTTGAAAAATAATAAATTTGTTGTATGATATGAGTTTCTGTTGATCTACATTAAGAATTATTCGGTATACAATTTTATTATTGAATAAAGCAACTTATAATTAAATATTCATTGTCTTTAATTTATCCATTTAGATCTTTTAAATGTTTCGTTATCATCGATATCAATTAGTGTATATAATGTTAGATTAATTGATTGATAGTTTCCAGTATCTATTATCTAGTTAATTTAATGTAATGACAATTCAGTATAGACAATTAAAGTGGTTACCCTTTCGTAACATAAATATACTTTGTTATTTTAACATTTTAATAATTGAAATGAATTTCTATATCAATTAATTAAAAAGAAAATTTTGATTACTACTAAATTGGATTGTATATTTAGATAATTCATATGAAAATGAAATTAGATTGCGTTAATAGAGAAAGCACACTCATCGATAAGAGTACTGTTTGTTGACCAGCTTCAAATGATTGGCATTTTTGTGTAGATTTTTAACCAATCAGAAAACAAATTTACTAATCGATAACATTACGAAAGATAAACGAACTTTACATTACTAATTTTTCTTTTCGTTTAATTTTTTTAGCAGAAGATTTTTTTTACGTACATTCAAAAAAAATGATGATATGCAAATTAATTCAAATGGATCTAGGTTATTAGGTTTTGAGAGGCCTTACAATGATACAAATAGATTATTAGTAGGAGTCCCTTAACATTTTATGGATTTAGAGTTAATAACTTTGGGCTAGGGTATATGATCATTAAAACTAGTAAGGAATTAGAGTTAAGGTTTAGGAAAGATTGAAGGATATATGGCTAGTGTTAATATGGTTGATTTGTGCATTATGTATAATATAAGCAGGAAGAATTGAGCATCTAGTACTTTTATACTCTGTAGTGTAAAAAAAGTAATTCTTGTTTATCATTACATACATATTGAGCACCTTAGGAAAGTATTTTTATTACTTATTCAACGTGATATAATCAAAACTTCATTGCTATATATATATATATACAAACTTCTATTCAAACACTGAAAATTTAAAAATATGTACGCCATGTTTAGTACAGTAATAAACTTACTTTTATCTATAATGTTGCACTTCCATTGAAAGATAATAACTATCATCTGTTTACATCCAGACCAAAACAAAAATCATATAATGCACTCATATGAAGTTATGATTTACATTCTTTCCTACTGAAGCATACTTAAGTAGTGAAAAAAAGATTGTACTTAAAAATATGAGAAAAAACTCGATACCTTTTTTTACAGTTTTACGAAAAAAACACATTGAGATTTGCATTCCCTTCAATATGATTAGTAATTACCACTGGACTATAAGTATATACTTTAATGAAGTAACACTTATATCCATTACAGTCATGGAAATTATTTGTATAGATTTTCTATATATTGGTGTGATGTAATTTGCTGTGATTATTCAATTTAGCTCATTTTATAAAAATTCAATTAGGTTATCTTTTGATGTAAAAATAAATAAAAGTATCAACATGGATTGTGGTTAGAATTTATTAAATTTTTATCATGAAAGGATTAAAATTATCGAATTTCATTTGATTGTATTACTTACTTACGTCTGTTATCCCTCGTGGAAGAGCATAAGCTGTTCACCAGCATTCTCCATCGAACTATATCCTGGACAACCCTTTCCAATTTTATTCAGTTAATATTCATCCTTTTCATGTTTACTTCTGATTCCTGACTCAGTATGTTCTTTGGTCTTTCTGTTCTACGTTTCCCTTCACGATTCAAAGTTAGCACTTGCCTTGTTATGCAGATGGTGATGTATGTCTTATCCATTTTCAACGTTTTTCCTAATTTCTTCTCCAGCTGGAAGTCGGTTTGTTTTATCTCACAGTAGGCTGTTCTTAATGGTATCCAGTCAACGACCGTTGAGTATTTTACGTAGACAACTGTTTATAAATATGCGTACCCTTTTAATGATGGCATTTGATTATGCAATCACCATGATTTCTACTGGATACTTACGATTTTATTGCCTTTTTTATTTAGCGTTATTCTTAAGTCATTTTTGAAATTTCTTAAACATGAATACGACATACATATACATATCAATTAATTGATTTTGTTGACTAATCGATATTTCAAACATAGTTATCGATTTATGTGGGATTATATAAATGATAGATATATCCTCCTACATGTCTGTCAGTCATTGATTCTTTCTATGAAAGTTAATGAGATTGCACAGAAAAGTTGACCTAAGCTAAGTTTAACCGTTCGCCTTTTTGTCAAATCTATGTGTTTACATCTCGTTTAAAACTTCAGATCGGGTTAATTTTACTTTAAATGGCAAATTATTAATAATTTTAAAACAATATTTATGGTACATATAATTTATGTCTTTATAAAGAACAGGTAAACTACGTCAAATATTGTAATTATTAGAATGAAGGTTTATGGAGATTGTAGTTATTTTAATAGTTGGTGGTCTAGCTAAAATTGACTCATGAATTCAACTATTGAAATTACTACAATCTCTACATACCTCCATTCTGATAATAATAATAATAATCATGTGCTTACTAGTGACTGGCTTCAAAATGGATTTCCTGAAGTTCTATTGAGAAGCTACAGCCAGTGAATTCTAATCCTTGTCAATTAGAGACAAGAATCTACCTCAGGCAATGGATGAAGGGTTGCGCAATATCATGGATCGATTAGAGTTAGACATTAATTCTGTTGAATCCCGATTCAACTGTTCAGGGGTTAAATGTTCATGCGCGGTACCAAAGGTCCTGGGTTCGAGTCCAGCATGCGGGATCGTGCATAGCACACTGCCAACTAGTCCCATATTCAAAAGAAACGGCCGTCCAGTGTTCTAGATTCTCAATGGTAGTCTAGCTTAGACCAACTTATGAGTTCAACTATCCAAATATTGTGATTGTCAAATAAATTTCTCGTACTCAGATTTGATTGAATGACTTTTAACATAACTTCGACAGTAATCTATATTTCCTAAGTAATAACACTATCTAGTTGTTTTACCCTACATACCTTATCTGCTATTAGATATTGAATCGGTCACACACTGTGATACAGTTCAATATTATCGATTTTATTAAACAAAGTCAACATTACATAATAACATCATATCATAATATGGAAAACCATTAATAACGAAGCAACAGTGAATTTCTTTCTACCGATGACTATCAATAAAACATTGATCATATACTATGAAGGTAGTAGTAATAAGTTATCAGTATTATGTTGATGAAAGCACTATACGAATCAATCAATATTGTTATACTTTTGAACATGAAATCTGGAAAACAAAAATGTTTTTGTGTAACATAGAAAAACAGTCTTATCTAACGGATTGAAAAGGTCAAATGTCACACTTTCTAGATTTAGTTTGAAGTATGTTTCAAAGATAACATAAGTTGATGAAAAAAACAAATAAATTTTATTAGTCAACTGTCAATTCTGACAACTTTGGCTAATCTTGTCAATGTAACAAATGTGACTAGTGATTTAATGTTTACTGCTACTAATAACTAGCAATTATTTTGTGTCATATATTGTCGATATTAGTTTCATTTGTCCTATATGAATACGTATGGATACGTGTGTCATCCATATATCAGCATTTCATGCATATATTTTTTTTTTCATACCGGAAAGCATCAGTCAATTGAAGCTAGATCACCAAGGAAAACCTGGAAGCACTGGACGCCCGTTTCGTCCTATTGTGGGACCAACTTTGTCGTTACTATGATTAGGTTCTAATAAATAGAAAATAGACACCATTAATAAAGATCTGCTTTAATCAGAAATATTTCATTTAAATTCTTACATTTTATTTAATTCTATATGATTTAGCATTATTGTATCTTTAATATTATAACGTTTCTTATTTTATTGCATAATAATTAAAACTAAAAAACAATTGTAGAAGGCGAGGTTATCTCGTTTAACAGAAATGAAAGCTGTTGCAGAAAATGCATTCTCTGAAGGTAGAAAACGATATAGAAATAGGAAATTATTAGAACATGTGGATGTGATAATAAATAAAGACGATACACAAGAAGTAAACGATATTGTACAAAATGATGAAATGAATAATATTCAACTTGTTGAGTTGAGAAAGTATAAAACTGATGAAGCACAACAAGAAAAAGATGTAGAAATATTCTGTAGGCAAGAAGAAGAACACACAAAGAAAATGGACCAAATAGAAGGAGAAAGAAATGTTCCAATTGAAGAGGATAATGAAGAGCTTCACGATTTATTTGAACAACAATACTATCATTTAATTGATTGTTTACAACAAACAACTGTAAGTTTCCACTCTTATTTTTCAGGTTCATACATATGTTTACAAGTTTTTATTATCCAAGCATATAAATATTTTCGTATTATTGGTTTATGGCTGGTAGAAGAGTCCAGGAAGCGCATTTCGACATATCTATGGCTTAGTTGCATGTATCTGCACTCCAATTTTGTTGACTTCCATATTGAGACTTCAACTAAGTACTTTTTGCTTCAGATACCCAAAACGTTATCCACTGAACTACTGAGTTCAAGTAGCTGTTAACTAATTCAATAGATACAAATATGTTTTTAGGCTTTTCTAATTTTGTATTGATAAGTATTTTGATCGCCAGAATGATACACAACATTGCCTTCTATAAGTCTTATAAAATTACTTCCACAAGACTAAAAAAATGTTATCATTTACTAAATAACTGTTACTCATTCAGCATACATTTCTAATTCAAATGTATACGACCAGAACGATTTATATAATCATTTAACTTAACGAACCATTGAAAACATTACATTGTTGTCTTTTTAAATGCATTGTCTCAAGTATTTACCAAAAAATCCCTATTAATTTTTATCTCCCCGCGTCTTGAGAAAGTAATATTGAGTTTAGCCATTTGATTGGAATGACTTGAAATCGAGTAGAATATGCAATATGGCTCATATTTCACAATTGATCTTGATGTAATATAACCCGCTGTTATGATTCAACATTTAAAATACAAAACTCCAAGCTAATCACAGGTAGACTTTTTAAAAGAAAAACTGCGTTAAATTTATTTAATAATTTCTGAACGATGAAATGGGATAAAATAAAATACCTCATATCAGTACATTAATTAATTTCGTTATCAACGTCACCAAAACTTTTAACAGAATCATTCAATATAACGACTGAACCAAGGAGGAAAAAAAATTAAAACCAACTCTCAGAAACAAAACAATAGATTGTGAATATGTGAATTATTTTGTCCACTTTTCATCTATTCAACGCTTATTATCTGAGGTCTAAAATAAATAGACAATTTGTGGTGGTGGTATAACAAAAAATGTGTTGATTACGTCAGAACATCTATGAATTTAAATAATTCACTATCAAATCAAACTATGGTAACTCATCCGTAATAAAAACAAAAGAATAGAATACGAAACACATTAAAACTAAGTTTATTTATAGTATCTATCCAAATGATGATTTAAACAAAGATTTAACTAAACAAGCTTAAGTTATCCTCAGCTTTCGAAACGTTCAACAACCGCGTTATACTAAACAATTTCAGTTATTTTTCTATCCCATTAATTAGAATCTGCCGAATATTAAACTAAGATTTTCTCACTAAATACTTCATTTTAAATGCCTCAAACTATTCAAAACTGTCTGTATAGCTCAGCTCAATATCATTAACGGAAATAATGAATAAATAGAAATTCGAAGCATAAAACGAAGTCTTTAGAAAAGCATACACCATCATATTAGTTTATTCACTTAATGAATGGACGGAAAGACTGTCAAAATTGACGGTGTCAGTAAATTTATTAAATTTTGAAAACGCAACAGATAACTGCAGCCACCAAATATAAGGTATATTTCATTGTCCATCTAAAAATGATTAATGAACAAATAAAAATTAGTTTTTGAACAAAACAAACTACTTAAGTCCATGGATCTATGGATTGATTTTATTTTACTTTATCGTAGGGTCTAGAAGTTGCTGAATTTAATAAATTGTCATCAAGTGGAAATAAAAATCGAACAACAAATATGAAATTGAACACTAGTGGAAAAAATGTACAAAGGCCTAAATCTTTTAACAGTACAAGTAGTTCAGGTGAATTGCAAAGTCAACCAATAAACATGGTACCAGTGCGGTAAGTTTTCTAGTGATTTTACCATCATTTACACTGTTACGTTTAAGACAGAAGTTAGTTACAAAAATTAAATCTTCCCCTTTCTTCATATTTACTAAATCAGTGGTTTGCTAGCTACTTTCACATTATAGACAAAAACAAATGAAGCAGTATTGCTTATAGTTCTAAAATTTTAAGTTAACTTTTATTGATCTGAGAAATAGCTTTATTCAATAATAGAAATAATGATTGGATTTATTCATTTTGTTTGTTATATTATTCTGTAACAGTTCATAGAATTTACAAGTAAATTACTGACTGACGCAAATTTATAGACAATGAAATAAAAAAAATTTCAAGAAATTCAAAACGGAGAGTATTAGGAATTTATTTACTTATGGTTGATTAATCATAATGCATATGTTATAGTCAATACGATGCATAATATATAGAACGGTGTTTAACGGACTAGACAATGTTAGGCTGTCGTGTATAGTAGACGAGAGACCATTAAACTAGATTTTGTGCCATTTGGGACTCATCGTCAAGGTGTAACTGTAATCTTGAAGTAACTGATGTTTCCTGTCGGATTTAAACTTTGATTACATAGTTTCTCACTGTAAGAAGTTAGAAATGAGGTACTCGAGCTGATAGCAAAATTTATCTACTGCAGATCAAGTTATTCCATTCGTGAGTTTTGCATTCGAATCTGTTTGTATGAAACGAGAATAATTAAGAGTCTCATATTGAAGACTGAACTAGCATAAATCTTTCTTGCTAATAATAATAATAATGTTAGTAGTGATGTACAAAACTTTCTTCAATTATAATAATGAGTATATATTTGAATGATTCTTACTGTAGGCATACTATTTACAGTAAATTTATTTATAAACTCAGTTATATTTTATTGAATGATGATTTAATGTCAAAATAAATGTACATCTCAACTAAATCTGATTTATTATTATTACTATTAGTTAAATGAACTATGAAAAATACCAGTTATTTACAAGTTATGTAATCTATTTAATAAAGCAATTGATTTACATTACAATTGGGATTAGATTATATAATGTTAGTTACCTATTATGATAGTAATAATTATTGAGGTACACAATAAGTCTTCCATGCTTCATTTGCCGACTATAACAAAATTTATTTTTTTTTGTATAATTTAGTCACGGTAGAAGCATAATCTGTTCACTGTTGTTTTTTTCTCTTGTTTTCAATGAACTGGTACGTTATCTTTTAAAACAAAATATGTTTCGTGATAATTGAAATCATAATCTCTAACCTAATGATATCATTATTTTTTTTCTTAATGTATTGATTCAATTGAATGTTACTATATAAATAATATTTGATTGACCGACAAGTTCCCCATAATGTATCCTTATATATCAAAATCAATTATTATCTTTTTATGATGATGGATAGAAAGGTGTAACAATAGAAAATGACATTATTTTTATCAAACAAACATTCTATAGATAAGTTAAAAAACTATTGTTCCTTTCTATTGTTTAATGTTAATAAAATCGGAACAATCGAATAGAATTTATGTGAGAGAAAAAAAACGTTGTTTTAATGTTCTTTGTCTTTATAAAATAAACGTCCTGATTTATGAAGAAAAAACAAACATAAAAGGATAAAACTAGTGAAATATTTCGTTGTGAAATTTCTCGAATTGCATGCCTACTTACATACTGTCACTCCAAATTGTGCGCAGGCCAACGACCAGCATTCTCCAACCCATTCTATCCTGGGCTTTCCTTTCTAGTTCTACCAAATTTTTGTTCATTCTTCTCATATCTGTCTCTATTTCTCGGCGTAATGTGTTCTTTGGTCTTCCTCTTTTCTTTTGACCTTCAGGATTCCATGTGAGGGCTTGTCTTGTGAGGCAGTTGGATGATTCCTCAATGTGTGTCCTAACCACTTCTATCGCTTTTTCCCGATTTCTTCCTCCACTGGGATCTGGTTTGATGTCTCCCACAGTAGCTTGTTGCTGATATTGTCTGACTAACGGATTCGAAGTATTATGCGTAGACAACTGTTAATAAACACTTGTATCTTCTGTATAATTGATTTCGTAGTTCTCTGTAAAATAGTATATAATTCTATTTAAAGAGTAAAATATTCTTTATAATCTAGTGAATATGAAAAGTAAAGATATGTTAAATAGTTGGAGATATTTAACATGGAACGTTAATCCTAGTTTACGTTTGTGTAGTACTATTAGCAAGGTTTATTTGAAATCTTAAATATACTGACTCCCATTGTGGAAATTTAAACTGAATCGTTCAGTATTATTGTTATAAAGAACTACTGCATAACTATCTGAATTACAATTTACATGCTATAGAACGATAGAAAACCATCGTCATAAACTTACTCGTTAGTTGCTGTATATAACCATCTAACAAAGTATCAAACCACTACAGATTGATCAATAAAATTTGATTCGTACAAAAGAGTTCATCTTATGGCTTATCCTGCATTTTGTAACTAGTTCGAGTAGATACTGGAAATCCGAATCCATTTATTTAATATATTTAATGATTGTTCATAAAATTTTGTAAAATTTTAACATAACAGATAAAAGTTTGTATAAATCTTGGCACACCTTAATGACTAATTAAACTAATATTCAGTAGTACTGTTTGGTATTAATTTTATATCAAATATTTTAGAATACGTTTCCACTTTGAAGTAAGTAAAATTAATATTATCCAATTCTATATTCAGATTAAATTTTGTCTGTATTGCTTACTAGTAATAATGATAGTAGTAGTGTAGTGAACAAGAACACGTGTGGGTACAATGGAATGCATTTAAGCACAAATTACAGACTATCTCACTAAATTCTGATAACCACACAATAAACAGTTAATTTGGAAATTAATAATCAATTGTCTCAATCTTAACTGTAACTTCTGCAAATATTAATCCGCCTTCTCTGATTTCATTGTTCATGCATCTTCGTACTGACTGCGCTTCATTCCTCTTCTTTCCTTATCATTCGTCTGCCAAAATACATTCTATGTTTGACCATCACCATATACTACTTGTGTGGATATAAGTAGATCACACCACAGTAGTAATAATAGATTAATTGTTTTTATCATTAATTCACTCCTTTTCTTAAAAAAATAAAATTGGCTTTCATTTTAATAAATAATGGCGTTTCAAAGAAACATACTAACTAATATCAAAAACAATTGTTTATTCATTCATTATAAGTTTTTTTTCCTTTTAATTTAATTTATAGTAAGCTAATTCATTTGAATGTACACTATGATATTCAAATATGGTTTACATATATACATCTAAATAGAACGTAAATATTGACTCTTGACTGATAGATGTTTGTTTTAAAAGTCAATATTTGTTATGTGCATATCTAATGTATTTTTTAAACGAACGCATTCAAAGTTTCGTTTCGTTTTTTTTTCCATTTATCTTTTATTTATTTTGAATATTTCTAAAAAATATTTTTCATCATAAATTGATTTTGCTTAAAAATAGAAACTTTATAAACTTATAATCACTATATACGTGTTTTGTTTTAACTAGGAACTGCTATACCAGTATGAATGTTTCGGTGGTGTTCTTTTTTTGGTGTTTCTTTTAGTCGTTGCCAACATTGTTTGGTAAGATGGGTTACTAATTTGTGAAACACCATCAAGACAAAGTATAATGGTACTTATTCTATAAAACTATATACTTTTCCCATCTTCTGAAGCAGTTGTTTTGCTATGCAACATATAACATATACTACATTTGGTGAACTATTATAAATACCATCAAAAATAACTTCTTTACTTTTAAAATCTCTGAATATCTTTTTCTGTTTCGTAGAGTTAAAATACATCCAGTTGAATATCATTTATTGAAAAATTAAACAAATAGCTTATGAGTGAATGCACTTTTGTATCAATTAGCATAAAATGATCCAGGCAATCATTAAGAACAATTTAAGTACGGAGAGTTAATTTGTTACCAAATATGTCACACGTAAAACTTTGAGAAACTAATATTCACCAAAAGTGTTTGTATTAATTCTATGTTATTCATATATATGTGCATGTACATATAAAGATCTCTACTAGTGAACATAATAATTTAATATTTCGCACTTTGATATCATCGATTTAATCTAGACAACCATCAACATCTTTTCAGTTCCTCTTTTCGATTCATGGTAAGCTATTGAGTATACAGTGTTAATGAATTCAACAGTACATTGTAATGCATCCTGGTTCTCGGTGGTTGTTTGAATTGGTCTAATTCGTGATGCCAAACTACGAAAATCTTCCGTCTCTACATCATTGTATTCTAAACAAATTTATAAAGGTGGTTTCATAAAAAATGTTTGTGTATATCGGTAGTAAATATATTCATAGTAATCAAGTCATTGAAGTCAATATTTGGTAAATAAACTGTAGATTAAGCTAACCGATAAGAATGTTATAAAGATAAGGCATTCAATTTTAACTCAGTAGTCTAAGATGTTATTATAATTACCATAAAAACTTCAAAAACCGTAGGTTTTGAAAAGTTCATATTGGGATAGAAAATCTGTTTGATGATTAATTATTTCCTGTGATTTTCTAGTTGATATCAATTGTTAGTAAAATTAATCTTCGGAATCTATTTTCTTTAAATGTTCAAAAGATTAAAGCGAATAAACGTATTGATTAAAAGTCTATCTACTTTTATTAAAGTACCAGGCTATTATAGTCGGTCATCACAAAGTGGATACCAATTAATTCATTGTTGATGTCAGATACACATTTTTCATCACAAAATGATATAAAAAATCCCTTACAGTATTATATATATATGGCTTTCTTTTGTATTGATTTGAACCTAAGAAATTCCACTTGAATATACTTCACTGAATTCAAGTATAATGGATACTGTTTTTAAAATTTCCAATGTTGTTTCTAATACCAACAATCCTCTTGACCATTAAGAGTAGAAAATATTCTTGGGTTACCAGTATTCGATCATAAATGTCTACATAGCATTACCCGTATATTTTGGGACGACAGAGTAAGCAATTCCTAGGTTAGGAATAAAGTACTAGGTGAAGATGGGAAATCGATTGATGTGTTAGCAAATCTTCATCAAGTGAGGTGGTTGGAACATGTGTTACGTGTACCTAATCACTACCTACCTTGACAGGTGATTTCGTGCGCTGTAGGTCAGGAAGGAAGCTAGGGGTGGCTTAACCAGAACATGGCATCAATCCATGAAGTTACTGACGATTGGACTTAGCCATACTGTTAGGTACAGACTATTTGGTCGAGGTCCGCGTGCTTATCATTACCAATAGTTATAGATTTTGCATAACATGGCTGAAAATCGTTTGCAGTGGCGCATGTGCATTCTTTTTGTCTTCTTTGAAATTCTGAGATTCAAAATCCCTGATAACATTTTGTTTTCATTTGGCTGATTTGTATTTCCTTTTCGAGTGTTATCTTTCGTATTACCACCAACACTGTTTCCACCTCTACTATTCCGAGATTTGAACTGACAACATCTCGGTATGTTAACGGGCTATGGCAACTTGAACCGATGTACATACGTACAAGACCTATGTTGTGACTTAGTGGCCAACTGTTCTTATTAATATTACCATCTTTATTGTTTTCTATGTACAAAATGATGTTTGTGACTGAATTAAATCATTCTGATAAAAAACATGTAAGATTGGAAATAAAATCAAATAAAAGAATTTGTTATGATTATGAGTGAGATATAAATCAATGTTTACATGATTATCAGTAAATAATTTTTTTTAAACATCAAAAAAACTTTTAATTATCCTTCAACCTCTAAGACAGTTGAGAAGAAAAACTCAGAAGTTAGCTATGCATAGAATTAAGCGAATTTCAAATATATCACGTTTGAACTCTATTGTTCAGTATAAGTATCGACTAATGAAATGTTAATAAACAATTCAACACTATTGTTATTCTTAAAATTATTAAAAGGGATTATTTTTTGATGAGGATTTTATGAATAATTTTAAGTATTGTTGTAAAAAGAGTTTCTTAAAGAAGAATGATGCTAAATCACTCAGGAAAATTAAAAACAAATACGGTCGAATGAACTACATCGACTCTTTACTTAAAATCATGAATTCTTCAAAAGTGCTTATAAATGATAATATTTGCCCTAGTAGGAGTTCTTCTGTAGTTGCTAGCGCTCTTAACAATATAAATTTGAACAAAATCATGTAATATTAAGGAATAAACAATATCTTATTCAGTAATAAGTTATATCATTCTCTGACGAAACAGTTAATTTTTTGATTTAGTAAATTGTATTAACATATCGAAGTGTTAATTGTTTTATGTCGACTACTATTCACCGATATGCTAAAATTTATTTATTAGTCAAACATTTAAAACTGTTAGTACATCTCACTGTTAATTTTGGTGTCTTAATCAGTGTTTGGAGATTAAACTGTTTGGATGCCGGCTCAGTGGTTCTAGAGATTAATCGCTTGCATGTGAGATTGATAGGTCCTTGTTTCTTTTCTTGCGAGGCGGGATCGTGGATGCGCACTGATGAGGAGTCCCACAATGGAACGAAACAGCCGTCCAGTGCATCCAGGTTTTTCATGGTGGTCTAGCTTCAATTGACTCATGATCTCAACTATTGAGACTAAATAAGTTTCGATTGACTTATTCAGTCAATACAGAATTTTCTTCCGTTGTAATAATTGGTAAATAGAAGATTATTGCTTAGTCATAACTAACAACTTTACCAATGTAAGTAATCAACATTGTTTTTAACAGGGTTACAATATAAGGTAATAATTATGTATTGTATATTGAAATTCCATTTTAAAATTCTATTCATAATAATATACAAAGATAATAGTAGTGAACAAACACTCAGGTGGAGATTAATTTATTGTTAAATGCAAAATTACAATGTTTTGAAAACACATGAAAATCATAGATTAAATACATAATTTGCAAATCTTCCATCAATTGTCTCTTGCAAAATTCGTTGTTTCTTCATTCCTGTTGTTATTACAATTACTCCTTGTTCACATCTCTGTTCTTTTAAATTCAGTCTTTTCAACCTTTTGCTGTCAAATATTTCATACATACTACTTATATCGTCATAAGTAGCATGTACCCCTATTTCAGTTCTTTAGTTTTTTTTAAAAAAATAAAGGAATATTTATGCGATTTCTCCGTTCGCATATATCAGTTTTCAACTTTTGACGTATCACATTTGGAATATATATATAAGTTTATTTATTGCTTTGCAAAATTGCATTGCAAAAACGATATACCTAAAAACTTGTATTGCGAATCAAAATAATATTTACTGAAGTAATATCTGTTAATAAGTTCAAGCTGAAGATAGCTGAATGTTAGTTTAATAAGTTCTACCGAAGGTTTTCATATAATTCTTTTCAGTATTAACATGATTTATACGTTTAAAGCAGAGATAATAAATTTTTTTCTTAAAGTAATAATTATTTCAAAGATGATGAGCATGATCGTAGTATTAAATGATATTTGTCAAATCATTATGGAAACAAACAAAAAAGTGATTGAATTGCTTTGTTGATGTCTGCTGAAAAGCGTTATACTCAGGTTAGGTTGAAATCTTCCATATTTTACTTGTCGATCGCATCGATCGACATGATAGTAAGGCAGTACTGTCTGACCCATGAACATTATTCATTGTTCACATTCACTTCCGTAGTGGAATTGTGAAATTATAAACAGAAAACATTGATTTTAACAGATGGCATTAAAAAAATAAATCAAACCAAGTTACAAGTGAGAATATCAAAAAACCAACTCATTTTGAATTACCACAAAATGTTCTACTAACAGACGTCATTATAGATTTCAGTATGGTATTTCTTTAAAAATAGTTCTGTATATATTTGAACACAATGGATTTACCAACATGTCAAAGTACTAATTCTATCAATATGATACTTGCCACGTAAGCCACATTTAATCATGTTTGTAAAAACGTCCCATGATTACTAATATTAGTAGAAATTATGATATTTGTCTCTTATTGTTACTCGAGTAACGCATGTACATGGTAACTGACCATTATATCTCCATACAATCGTCATATTGTTTTATTTTAAGAAAATTAATATTTTTCATTTCTTATAATATACACTAAGTAAGAGCTACCACTAGGAGTGAGAAACAATAAATAGTTTCGTAAACAGGGTTGCTTAATTTAGCTTATTATCTATCCTTGACTTATCAATAATAATTATTATTATTGTTTTAAAACCATTGTATTCTAGACGGAAATCGAAGCTGTCAAGTTTACGTCGATTTTCAACATGTTGTCATCGGAGAAGATGTTATATGAACAAAAATCAAACCAAACTATCATTGTCATCTACTGTTGAACAAACTCATTCCTCTAATCCACATCCTGATCATAATTCATCGAAACACCTTTTGGTATCAATCAACAAAACCCACAATGAAGAAACAGTAAGTACAAGTTAAATTGATTAAAGAAAACTAGCAAATTTTCACAATTGACACATTTCGTGGTTTTCATTCATGTTTATTTCTTAAAAACATTGAAAATTATAGATTGGATTAGAGTAGGTAGTAAACATTTAGATAAACTAACAAACAATTGTTTCTTATACCAAATGATTTTCATGAGAAATTTGTTACCAGAATTGCGATTTGTTCAGATGGTAGTAATTTTAAGAGGTGGATTCATGAATCGATCTAAGCTAGACCATCATTGAAAATCTGGAAGCACTGGACAGCCGTTTCGTTCCAGTATGGGACTTTCCAACAGTGTACATCCACGGCATCACACACGGGACTTGAACCCAGAACCTTTGATATTGCGCGCGAACGCTTAACTCCTGGACTACTGAGCCGACATCCAACAGTGGTAATGTGTAACTTAAAACGATCCATGATATTGCGCAACCCTTTATCCATTGTCTGAGGTGAATAACTGGTTACACCCGGATGAAACGTGGATCATGGATCGATTAAAGCAAGACATTTTTAACATTGCTGGATGCTGGCTTAGGGGTCCAGAGGATAAGCGTTCGCGCGATACCAAACGCTTTAGGTCTGATTCTCACGTGCGAGATCGTGGTTGCTCAATTCTGTGAATTAGTTAGTTTATAAATTCTGTCCTTAAAAAAGTTAATTATGGTTAAAATATCTAGTCTAATAGTTCTTTATGATTAATGATAAATTTATGCAATTTATTTAATCTAATATGCATTACTAAAATCAACTTGTGAAAAAACGCGTGTCTGTTTTTTTCTTTATCTTTGCTCAGTTACTTCTACTCTTAATCACCGAGTCGTTCCTGGTAATTCTTTCTCTAGCTTTATTAGTATGAGATGCTGAAATATTAGATTAATTTATATTAATTACTGACTTTTATGTTGTTAAAAGCTGACAGGTTGTGAACTATGCATCTCTGTCTACTGATTTTCAGTGATTTTGTTCTTAAGCTACCTCTTTGTTGTGAATAACCATAATATGTTAACTTTTGACTTTTATCCTTGAAAATATTTCCACAATCAAGAAGTATCTCTTGTCCTTCAAGTATCGTACAATTCTAAAATTTGTAAGGACTGATAATAATATCTTATCCAAACTCAACGAGGTTATGGTTAAGCAAATGATGATAGAATGATAGTTTCAGGGTAAGAATAAACTCCACTCTCGTTCGCAATTTCGACCTAGCGAAGCAAAAACAATTCATTACACCATCATAATCCATAATGGAGGGTGTGTTTCAGTTTCTATCATCTTTCTGGCTTACATGAAAAATGTAAAGTTGTCTACGACGAAAATGTCACTTCATATTGCTACAGACGTGTCAAGTGTAGGGCAATCAGTCATGGTGGAAGACAAATTACGAAATAGCAAAAGTTTCACATCCAATAGGAATTACTTCAAAACATCTACAATCGAGTGACACCGATATTGCGTACTTGAATAACTTACATTTTCTAATGATGTTAATTCGGAACAATCGTTAAAGATTTGTTATATATCTACAAAAATGTTAGAAAATAGGGTCATATTTCTACAGTGAGTAGCATATGTATAAAGAACTTAATATTTCAACTTTTTTAATAAATATAGATCATATTTCCATAAATCAGGTTCAGCATACATTTTATGATTAGTAAATAAGGTCAGTGAAGACTGTTTAATTATTGTAGATTATATCACAGACTGACTACAGGTAAACAATTGCTGAAAATCACTATTTCTTATCCACAACTTCAAAAGGGATCAGGCCTGAAACTTTTAGACTTTTCGGAAAGCGCAAAGCCTTCAAATCATTCAGATGACACATATTAGATTACCTTTTTAAAAACAGGCAATTTGATAAGTGGCGCAACCACCATTTAATTCTGGCGACAATACCCATATCATGCCTTACATAGTTGATATTCACTCGTCAAGGTTCTCATTAGTAACTTATTTCGGTGTGACTATAACTTATGGACAACTGAAATGTTATTTATCTATATGAATGAACGAATTTCGCTCCAAAACCCAAGACTTGTTATCCCAAATTTCATTGGTTTGTTCATAAATTATAATGTCATCACAATCTCACTCAAAAATAAATATACATGCACACGGCAATACTTACCGTATTTCTCATATCGTCGATAACTTTAGTAATTAATTTGTTTTTCAAGTTTTACGTAGATATTTGTTCATGATAAAATAATCGAACAACCATTTAGATTAGTTACAGTAAGACATAAAATACATAGACCATTTGTTTTCACATCAATCATATGAGTTTTAATTTTCTTAATACTTGATAAAATCTATATTACATAATTCGTTTTTTTTTACTGATCTCTTATACATTTGTGGTCAAAAATTCTATGTTATTCTTGTCGTCAATAGTTGTCCTTATTACATATAATGTTACTATGTTGTTAACATCTGTTATTTTCTCTCATGAATGAATTCATTGACTAGAATATATTGAAATGAATAGTTAAATTCTATTTTTCTATAATGAAATATGATTAAGTTACTTTAGGTAAAAATGACTAGTTCAATATCTCTTGTTTTACACTCGATCTATTTTTCTTTTTTTAAAAAAATGAAAAACACAACATTATTTATCTGTTATTGTTTAAAGTATTAAAAAAATGTATGTTACCAATATTTAAAACTACAGGTATTTTTTAAAATACATTGTAAAGTTTAACGTTATTGTAGTGAACCGAATACGGGTGAGGGACAATTGAATGTCTCAATTTGACTGTTTCTTCTGCAAATATCCGTCCATAGTCTCCGATTATAATTGTTCATGCATTTTTGTACCAATCGCGTGGCGTTTCCATTCTCCTTATCGATCTTCTACTGAAATATATTCAATGCCCGACCATCACCGTATACTACTTATGTGGATATCAGTAACCCACACCACATTATATTAATCATAAATAGACTTACTAAATCTATAAATCATGATTTGAAAGGGCTTTATACAGATTAATGAAATTTGTAGGCCATTCCTGTTGAAAACTAATCTCACATAGAGAATTGAGAGTGAAAATGTCATCACCAATTATATTGAATAATCGTTATGAAAATTAATTAGAGTAATTGTTATACCATCTGATGCATACTTAGTAATTTTAATAGTTAAGCGTTCACCGTAAGAAATAAAGGTCCTTGGTTTGATTTTTATTAAAGCCGTAGATAGGATTTTCTGAGTAATTGCTTACTAGGACTAAGTAGATGTTCATTATTCTCTAGTTTTCAACAGTATACTGCATGTGGTCGATCTTTTGTTTATTTTCAAGTGATTCCGCATGAAATTGAATTCAGGACTTCAATTATAGTTCAATCAGACTTATGGATAATCAGAGACAATTTCCTTATTTTTAACTTGTCAAGCTACGTCAAATACGATATTTTCACCTAATGCTTAAGAATGCATTACGAATCTAGTCTCTAGTGAGTATAAGATTATTATCATACTTAATATAGTATTAAGGACAAAGTTGTAAGCCATTATAACGAGACATTTAATCAAACACTATAAATATATAAATAATGATATCGCGATTATTTAAGCTTTCTAGAAATGTACGTAACTTATCCTACGTTTTAACTAGAGATAGAACACAAGCATTAACTATATATGTATGGTCGTTTTCTATTAGAATCGAACCATTGGTAAGTTTCGAAAGTTCATCAAAATAAATTACGTAAATCGTATTAGTTATAAATATACCATTTATCAATCATTATTTCTATGTAACCAAGATATATATTTTTTACACTTACCAAGTTTTGATGTTTTCAGCTTACTATACTTATTACTTCTTTGATATGATTTGACTGGTAAAACACTCAATACACATTGAAGTTTTTGTTATGAAGTCTATCTGAAAATAAGATTTCAACAACAAAAAACGTTTGATCATTATTTGGATTTATTAACAAATAAAATACCATGTGCAAGCTGTGAAACACATGTGGAGAAATTCGAACACTTCACTTCTACCCAAATTTTGTGTTATTGATGTCGTTCAGAAGAACGATGAAAGTTCCACGACTAAACCATCCAGCTCAGAGAACAAAACTCCATCAAAAATGGGCATTACCTTGAATATTAGAATTAACTAGTAAAATAATTTACTGTAAAGAGATTTTATTCTAAGGCATTCACTAAATCATTTTCAACATTTCTTGTTACTCAATATAAATATATGACAGAATTATATATTCACTTATTGACAGCGTAAAGAGAAATTCTCAAGAATTGTTTGAATTTATTGAATATATTTAAGAAGTAATATGTAAAATCAATACGGTGAGGAAGAGAAGAAGAACAAGAAACATTTTTGATAAATGATTAAAATTGAAGATAACCATTGTCTTAGGATTGATGAATCACAAAGTGGTGATCAGTCTCATACCTCCCTCGAATACGAGTATGGATCAGATTCTGTCGAGGAAGTTGCACCGTGATCACTAGTCCAAGTAACATGACATAGAGTTCACAATGTTATAATATTAAATACTTGGGGGTTGTTAGCAAGAAATCCTACCAAGAAACCTAGGTTCATGATTTTTTCCAGACTACTTTTAAACATCTAAAATCTGTTTTAGCTCGTAAATGCAATACGTATTCTATTTAGAGTAAAATAATATAAAAACCATAAATGACCAAATATGTTTTATCATTATCTTATATTCCCAGTATATAAGGTGCATAAAAAAAAATAAAGCAATTAATATTAGAATTTTAAATGACAGTCCAGTTATGCAGACTTACTGCTTAAAGGAAATCCGATTTTTTTCACAAAAAAAAGACAACTTTAAGAACTTCTCTTTATTTTCCTGTGACATCTCCTACTTTGTGCACCTTTTAAATGTATGATGTGTTTGTCCACTTTTCTTACATTTTAGTTAAAGAAAAAAAACGTTTATTTGTTGACAAACGTTTTCGTGTCTAA